CCTTAGGTGAAACCCAATAAAAGCAAGAGAGCGGGCCCAGGAGCCCACACCCTCACACTGGGCGTGCGCTCTGCCCAGAGCTGCCCTGCGTGACCCCGTCTCACCCCCGCGCCCACTCTTCACAAGAGGTGCAGTCAACCCCCGTCAGCCAGCACGCCCTGGGATCACAGAGGTTAATGAAGTTTCTGGAGGTCACACCGCTCAAAAACGGCCGAGCAGAGGTTCAAACTGGCGTCAGAGCAGCTCTGGCTCTCACCCACCAACGCCTTCTGTCTCCAGCTCTGAGTCACAACTCGCTGCCGGGGCAAACCACACACAGAGCGCAGCCCTGAGGAGCTCTCGGCCAGGTCAGGAAGCAGAGCAGAAAAACGCATCATCACAGTCCTTTAGGCCCAGCCAGGTGCCCCACGCCTCCCGGCTGCCCACAGGTGATTCCCTCTGCTCCACGTGGGCACTTGGCACGCTCCTCTCACCCTTTGAATGCAGTGCCAGCATCTCTTCTAGGCAGGGAACACTTCGATCACCTCTCCTGAGAGCTTTATGAAGGGCTGCGTGAAAGATGGACGTGGTCAGAGCTAACCCCCACCCCCCAGGCCGGAGCAGAGGCGTCAGCCCCGGGCCTCACGGACGCCCCGACCCTGTCTCCCGCACAAGGCAAGCGTGTGCCCAGCCCTCTCGTGCTGCTGCCGGCTCTCCGGAGGGAGGCTCCGGTGCAGTCTGGGCTCAAAGGATCCCTCAACACCGTCCCTCTCGTCTACACAAGATCAGAGTCCTGCTCAACACACAGCACCACAGTGGAAGGCCACCAACACTTTATCATAACTTTAAACGGAGTGAAAGAAGTGAAAACCTTTCAGTCGTGTCCAACTCTTTGCGACCCCATAGACTATATAGGCCATGGAATTCTCCAGCCCAGAATGCTGGAGTGGGTAGCCTTTCCCTTCTCCAGGGGATCTTCCCAACCCAGCAATCAAACCGAGGTCTCCTGCATGGCAGGTGGATTTTTTCCCAGCTGAGCCACAAGGGAAGGCCAAGAACACTGGAGAGCGTAGCTTATCCCTTCTCCAGCGCGTCGTCCTGACCCAGGAATTGAACCAGGGTCTCCTGCACTGCAGGAGGACTCTACCAACTAAGCCACAAGGGGAGCCTTTAAATGAAGTAAATCTATTAAAATACTGAATCAATGAAAGTAATATCGTAAATCAACTATATTTTAATCTAAAAAATACACACAAAACATCAATAAATTTCCTTCAAAGAAGCAATAAAATACCAACATTTGCAACATGCTAGCTCAGTCGTCCTCAATGGCTGAGTGATTTTTGCCCACCTCTCCTACCCCACCAGCCTGGCCCTCTGGGGACACTCCCAGTGGCTGAGGTTATTTCTGGTTGTCACACTGGAAAGGTGCTACTGACAACTAGCAAGCAGAGGCCAACAGCTTTCAATGAACAGGGCGGATTTCACCACAAAGATTCACCTTCCCAGAGCATCAGCAGAGCCAAAGTGGAGAAATCCCAATTCTTTCCACTAACGGACTGATAAAAGTAAAGCATGATATAGGGATGAGAACCAGAGAACCCATTACAAACCATTTATTAGAAATGACCAAAAAAGAAAAAGAAATGACCATATTTATGTTAGCATCATTGATACCTTCTACTTACAGAGTGATAGGAAGTGTCCTAGACACTTTATCTATTTCAGCTCTAAACCTGCATGGTCATTTTATGCCCCACTGAAGGCTCAGAGAGGTGAAGTAACTTGGCATGGTCATACAGCTATGAAGTAAGATAGCTCACACTGAACCCAGCCAGCCTGACTCCTTTACCAGCACTCCTGACTTCAGCACCCCCGCCAACATGCATGCACGCATGCATGCGCGCGTGCGCACACAGACACACACACGTGTCAAGACCCGCGCCCCCCGCCCTGCTGTGTGTCGGTCTCCCCCGGGGGCAGGGGCTATCTCTGAGCTCAGGGTGGAGCCAGCAGCAGAGGTGCTCACTGCAGCCTGTGTGAAGAAAGGGGCAAAGGCACGGACGGGAGCTGGGCCCTGGCTTTGGGGGGCAGTGGTCAGCCGGTGCTCCCAGGAGTGCTCCACCCTCATGAGGCGGTCGGGGCACCCACAGGTCAGCCCCCTGAGCACCCGGCTCCCTGAGTGCCTCCACGGCCGCCTCCGAGCCCCAGTCTCCCGACTGGCCTTCCACCACACCGCCCACGGTGCTGTCCACAATAATGTGGAGAGTAGACTTGGTGAGGACAAGGAGAACAGGCGGCCCAACGGTCCAGAGAGGCGCTGGGTCAAGGGTGGGAGAGAGTGGAGAAGCAGGATGACTCAAGGGCCTGGGCTGGGAACCACAAAGGTCCAGCTCCAGCCCCAGTCCTGCCAGCGACAAAATCGCACACAGTCCACCGTCCTCTGAGTGCCCGCTGCGCACCAGCCCTCTCCACAATTCACCTATAAAATGTTGAGTGGGTCCTGAACGTTTTTGGCACACAACTGCCCACCCTTTCTCCCCTCTGGGATTACAGACTGAAACTCTTCTCTAACACTTAGGAGTCTAGCACAAAAAATTCACTACATTTGGCCCGTAAGATCACAATCTTGACTCATCTGTCACTAATATTCCAAAGGTACTTAATAACGGCTCCTAATAACAATATCACAGTCGTCAAAAACAAGGGTAAGGAGACAAGAAGTAAGAAATAAAATGAAGAGGAGATGTCTGATTTCTGCGGCACAAAGCTGAGAAAGATTCTCAAGAAACGATCTGCAGTAATGGACGGCGTCTCCTCTCAAAGGAGAAGGGGCTCCAACACACACAGTGAGACAAAGGCAGCGGACTAAGTGGTCACAGGATGCTCACAAAAAGCAACAGGCTCTTCCAAGTCTGCTCTGTCTGGGTCTACACCAAGCCTCACACACGGGAGCCCACCGAGTCCCCCAGACCACCGGACGAGGAGGTCCCATCGTGCCCACTGTGGAGACCAAGAGGCTGACATGGAAAGCAAATGATGACAACGCAGGCAACAGGACATAAGCCGGACATCAACGGCCTAACAGGCAGCTGTGCCAGGCACCTACCACTGCTGTTTCAGAGACAAGGAAACTCGAGAGAGGGGAAGAAACTCGCTCAAGGTCACACAGCAAGAACACGGGTGTGGGTCTGCTAAACTCCAAAGCTAAGCTCTTTCCTCCACGCTGTTTCCCAGCCACCTCTATTTTCGAACCAGGCTTCCCAAATCTGCCAACAACCCCAGGGGACTTCAAAAACCTGTCTCCAGGACATTTTCCCTGAGACTCTGACCCTGGAGCTCTGGGTCCGGCACCCAGATGTTATTTGGGCTTCCCTGGTGGCTCAGGTGGTAAAGACTCTGCCCACAACGTGGGAGACCTGGGTTCCATCCCTGGGTTGGGAAGATCCCCTGGGGAAGGGAAAGGCTGCCCACTGCAGTGTTCTGACCTGGAGAATTCCATGGACTGTATATTCCATGGGGTTGCAATGAGCCAGACACGACTGAGCGACTTTCACAGATTGTATTCACAAACAGGGAAAGTTAAAAACTCTGATCTGAGCAAAGGGGATGGTGTGGCCACCCAAACCTGAGCTGCAGGGCACCATCTGAGGGGCCGTGGGTGTCCCCGACAGTTCCTGGGCTCCACCACTCAAGGCGACCGTGGAGTCACCGAGGTCTGGAGCCAGGAATTCTCCTAGGCGTAGAGCAGTGCCCGTCGATGGGTGCATCATGGAGAAGAGGTGCCCCATGAAACCAGAGCCCACGTCGGAGAGCCTTCTCACTCAGAATTGGAGTCAGGCTCATCCAAGACGACCCCCCACTTTGGCTGATGACACAACTGAGGCAGCCATAAGTGGACACGAGTGCCCACGGCCACAGAGGTCTCCAGCTGACTCCAGCCAGCACATCACACCATCTCAAAGGGACACCACCAAGTGCCCAACGTGCGCTCCGCAACAGGCACGCACCAGGCAGCCGGGCCAACCCCAGAAGCAAGCCCAGCCACCCGGCCCTCGCTCCTGCCCTCCAGGGAGCCACTGGGTAGCTGACGGCCGCTCTGGGCCCGCTCTCCAGATCCCCCGGCACCTCCTCGCGGCACTCCACAGTTCTGGAGTTTGTGCCTGCCTGTGTGACTGACTGACGCGTCCCCTGCCCACCACCCTCAGTCTGCAAGCTCCCCAGAGTCACTGCCGTGTTACTCCTGCGTTCCTGGTCAAGAGCAGAGCCCAGGACACACGCACAAGACCGTGCTGAACATAAATGTGGGGCACAAGAGTTGGGCAGATGCTGCAGGAGCTGGAGGGAGCCACGGGGAGCCCGGCATCCCCAGCTCAGCGCCCAGCTGGCGGGGACCATGGGGCAGGGGGGTGGGTGCGCGGCCCACTCCTAGCACAGGCGGGAATGTGTGTGCTGCAGGGCGGTGGCCCCACAAACCTCAGCAGGAGGGCCCGGAGCAGACGCAAACGAAAGAACACTGCCACGCGGGAGTGCAGTGGACACACTCAAGGGCGCCCCGACATACCAGCCCTGGGTCACACCAGCGGGGCCTGCGCTTACTAACTAGGCTATTACCCTCACCAGCACCCTCCACTTGGCCCAGGAAACTCCAGTTATCAGCATGAAGGGCCCCTCAGAGGATAAGGGTGCCAAAGGGTGCTGACTTAGTAACAGTGGCCACTTACAGGCCACCCTCAGCCACAGTACGTCAGCGGCCGGTGGCCAGGAAGCGATAAGAGACTGTGCACGTGAGCCAGGGCCCCAGGAGTGACAGCCAGCAGTGAGGGACCAAACCGCAGAATCGCCAACACCCCAGGCCTCCGCCGAGTCCACAGGATGCCGGGCTGCTGGGACGGACGGCCTGATTATCTGTACGACAGCATGTGCCCAAAGTGCAGGAGACACGTGACAGGTTTCAGACGGAAGCAGGCAGCGGGTCTGAACGGACAGCCGGGCCCTGCGGGAGACGGAGAGCGCGTTACCTGGTGAAGAAGTGGCCGAGCGGGGCCAGCAGCCTCAGCGTGGCCCCCGCCTCTGCTGCGCCGGCACAGCCCCGCTGGCGGTCCCGGCCCTCCTCACTGGAGCTCAAGGTGACGTCGGCGAACTGTGGGCCCTCGTCGTTCTCCAGGGCCACGATGGCGCTGGAGCTGCTCGTGACCACCAGGTCCAAGATGTCCTCGGTGCTGACGGACAGCGTGGTGGACAGCTCCGTGCCGAGGCTGGACACGCTGCACACCGAGGCATTGTCGCTGCGCTGCGGGGCCTGCGAGGCGGGGCTGTAGAGTTTCACTGAGTCGTAGCCCGTCCGGGGAAATGTGGAGGACTTGCGCACGCTCTGCTCCCGCTCGGCGCCGGTGGGAGCTGCGGGCGCGCAGGAGGGCAGCGGGCAGGCGCTCTGGCAGGCTCGCTCAGGGACGATCTCCGGCTCGGATGGCTTCCTCCTCACGTGGACCACACTGCAGGGGACAGGCTCCGGGTTGCCAATCTCGAGGGTAGGAATGCCCGAGTCCACCGATTTAAGGCTGTGCCGATCTTCTAAAGCACTGAGTTTCAGCTTGGGCCCATACTCAGGCAACGAGAGGGACCTGGGTGCCTTGAAAGTCAAGTGTTGCAGGTTCTGAATGTGGTTTCCTGGTCGACTGTCCAGAATGCCCATCAAGGCTATGCCATTTGTAGAGGTGGAAAGGTTTCCATCAGTCATCTTGGTCCAAGGAAAAACTAGAAAAAAAAAAACACAAAAATGGAAATTAAGACAGTGGCTATAAAAGCCAAAGATGCAACTCCTCTGGAGTTCAAATGTTCTGACGCCCCCTTTTAAAAGAGAAATCCTTGAAAAATAAAATTTAAAAAAGCCCCACATACCAAAGTATTAATTCAGGACCAGAAGTGAGAGTTTTAACATACTACTATCACAATATTATAAAGTATCCAACCAATCACAACTGTGGTCCTCAGGACAGCACTGGGAGCAGGACGGCCGTGCCAGGCGGAGAAAAGGGGTTTTGTTTTCCATGCTTTTTAAAATGATGAACACGTGATACCTCTGTCAAAAGTATGTGAGTTCATAACCCACACACAAGTCAAGGTGCAACACGTGTGGACAGCATAAAAATTAAGACGTCTCCATCAAGACAGAAAAGATGAAGCGTGTCCACCAGGTGCGCTGAGATGACCGGGGCCAAAGTGAGTGGTGGTTCCACAGTGTTTGTCCCCTCACTCGGGTCTCCAAGGCAGGGAGTGTTGCCCGCGTCCGCACGCAAGGAAACGAGGCTCGGGTTCAGAAAAGTGTCCAGGGTCATGCTGTCACTTGGCGGCACAGCTGGGATCTACATGGCTGGCCCCAAAACCAGCCACACCCAGGGGATGAATGGCTCGGTCTGGGGCTATAAAACCCAGGTCAGAAGGCTGGTTCGGTGAAGAAGGATAATCGATAAAGGGAAAAACTAAAGGCCATGAGCCTGGAGGAGACACCTCCGGGATGAGGAGAGTCCGAGCTGCTGGTGACACGGAGGCCCTGCCTACGGTTCTCAGTCTTGGGCGGGGATGAGGGGGTGAGAGGCGCAGTCCTCACAGACTGAGAACCAGGCGAGTTCCGCTATGCTCCTTTCCACTGTCCTTTAAAGTATCGAAAACTAAAGAAACCTGCAGGCGCATTTAAATCTGATCCACAGAACAGAGCAACATACAGAAGGGACCTCCCGACTCAGACGCTCCTGGGTTCTAACCCCCACTCCACTAGATGGCTTGGGAGAATTAAAGTGCCACGAGGAAGGCTTCAGCAGGCACCAACCACCCCCTACCCCAAACTCCCACAAGCACTCTGTGGGCGGCTGCCATCATCAAATGGCAAGTTTTGAAGCCTGGTAGTGACACCGATAACCACTCCCTCTCGGGTGTTATTTTAGCTTCTGCAGCGAGCATCCTGCTCCCCTTCAGGAAGCCTGGCCAGGCCTCTCAATGTCAACTCGGCAAAAGCACATTCATTAAAAGCAGAAAACAGGGGAGGGGTGATCCCCCTCCTTCCCAGAAACTGAAGGAACCCGTCACACAGCGCAGCACTCGAGCAAAAATAGAAATAAGGGACAAATTCAAAATGCACAATTCAGGAATAGACCAAACTATATATAAAACGTGGAAACGTGACCCAGTAGTAAGGAAGGATTATCTAACTGTGTGTCGTACTAATTGTTTATCAATTTTCCTTGGCAAGATGGAACCACACTGCACTACACCAAAGCAAGACGGCAAACAAAGAGAGCTTAATAAAAATGAGATTATAAAGGTGATCACACTAAGTAAAGGGTTTCCCTAACCTCCAGAGCTTGCCTCGTGGCTCAGGCAGTAAGGAATCTGCCTGCGATGTGGGAGATTCAGGTTCAGTCCCTGGGTCGGGAAGATCTTCTAGAGAAGGAAATGTAAACCCACTTCAGTATTCCTGCCTGGAGAATTTCATGGACAGAGGAGCCTTGTGGGCTACAAGTCCATGGGATTGCAAAGAGTCAGACAGTACTGAGCAACTAACACTTTCAACATACAGAGCAAAAAGAACCAAAAGGACCTGGGCATCAGCTCACCACATGGAACACATTTTAAATGCTCTGCAGTTCACGCTGCCCTGAATTCCCAGGGCTGCACCTCCTACCCTGAATCCCCAGCCACGAGTTCCTCCCAGGCAAGGCCATGGCAAACTGTCCCTGGAACCCTGACTTGGCAAAACTCCCAAACTGAACTACGTTGTCAAACCACAGCATTCACAACAGGAAGACAAACCTGTGTACAAACTTTAAAGTTCTAACAAAAAATTCTAATTAAAAGGAAAATACAGCAAGAAACATTTTTAGCACGTAGTTAAGAGCTAATCTTTGGCAGTGGCAAAGGTGATGAGGATCATTCAGACACCATCAACATTCCAACAAGTCAAACCGACAAAAAAAAACAAACCCCGAACACAGAAGGGCACACAGTAAGTAGAGCTGAGGCCCTCTGGTAGGCCCAGCGGAAACTCTCCCGACTTGCTAGTGCAGGAGACACCTAACCTTTCTGAGCCTCAACTCCCCTCCTGCCCAGGAGTGAAATGGGGCAACACCATGAGGCTCACGGGCAGGCCTCTGGACAAGGGAAGGGAGGGGCCTTGGTGAAACACAGCATACCTGCATCTGACACCCAGTAGGTGCCCCCTACTTCAGCCCACAGACAGCGGACACACACCGGGGGGGAGGGGGTGGTGGAGTGACTTTAAACTGGCATTTTGACATAAGGACAGGAACAGCGACCAAGGGTGCTAAGGGAACCCAAGGCCCCTGCTCCTCCATTGCCAAGACGGAAGCCCAGGGAAGGGAAGAACAGGTGGGACGGAGCCCAAAGCCGCCTGGCAGCGGCCCGTCCCACAGCCTCTCTGCTCTGTCTCGGGGCCACTGGAGCAGCCCCAGGGCCTCTCCTAGGGAGAAGCTGAGGGGCCTCTGAGGCTCCAAGAGTTCCAGGTCCAGTTTAAGTTCCTGAAACCTGCAAAACAGTCTCAGAGAACAGACTCTGGAAAAAGAAAAGGGGAAAAAGTCCTTCCGCTTGCGACACCCTCTAAGACCGAACTCTGTGAAGGCCAAGCCACCTGCCCTCAAGCCCTTCCACCTGGGGCCGGCCAAGCACAAAGCGAAGCCACACTCTGAGCACCTGCCTTCTGACGGGGCCCGCGGGGGAGGCTGCACAAAGAAAGGGCATGCTTCCGAGAGAGGCAGCGGGGTGGACGCTGGAAGGCGGCCAGCAGGCAGCTGCCCGTGGCCGGCCTCCAAGTCACACATTTTCTCAAGACAGAGGAAGCCTCGAGCCCGCGGGCCGGCGCCGGGCCCCCAGGACCCGTCCCCCGCCAGCCCCGCCAGTCTCGGGCCGTCAGCTCGCCTCTCTCAACACCCACTGCCCCGGCGACTCTGTCCCCTGCTCGGCCACCAGCGCCCTGGGTGTACATGTCCCCGGAGACCGAGCATGCCCCTAAGGCTGCTCCTCTGAGAAGCCTTCCCCACCCCCCCAGACCCCAAGAAGCTGCAGGCCCTCCTCTCTCTGGGGCTCCTTGTGGCTGCACCCCACCTTCAGCAGTTCCGGGGTCCCCTCCCCGGGCTCCCGAGCTGCAGGCAAGGCACCTGGATGTTGATGCCTGGGCAAACGCCTCCAACGGTGAAGGATGAGAAAACCTATCTGCTGAATTAAGTATTCCCGATGACTAGATTCTAGCTGTGGGCAGGCGTCAGGGGCTGGCCATCCAAGAAACCTCTCTTGGGAGCCGGGTTGTGTTTCCACAAGATGGCAGGGGAGCTCGCCAAGAGAAGCAAATGCAGCCACGCTTTCCCAGCAAAGTGTGTGGACGGCAGACCCAGCACATGAGCGACGACCGTCCCGCGCGCCGTGTCACCTGCTAGACGGCACGGGTTTACGCGCCGGGCCTCTGACGGCTCAGGACAGCAAACCAAAACTTCCGTCTGTGGCCCTTTCCCTAAGGCACACGTGACCCCTCGTGCTGCGGGCGTGCAGCATGCGACCTAGGCGCTCGGCGTCCCCAGGCACAGCCTAGCACCAGAGGCCAGCCTGGCCACGAGCAGCCATCGCCGCCCACAGGAGAGACACACACAAGCCTTCAAGCACAGGTAAGAGGGAGGCTTTTTATTCCAGGTGGCAAGGCCACCAAATTTTCCTTACCTGCCAGAAACTGAGTTCTGAAGGAAACAAAGAGGCAAAGGCCCTCCCCGAGAGGCTGGAACGACCTCACTCCACCAGGGGCCCATCTTTAGTTTAACACAAGTCGAGAGTGGACAGTAGCTCTACCAGTGACTCAGAACAAGGCGTTGGAAAACAAGTCTGTCTAGAAGCAACAATTTAATTTTCTTCTCCTTACAAAGTAACAGGGCTAAAACCAACTCTTCATAAATACAAAAAAAAAAAAAAACAGTTCATGAAACCACAACTATATAACTATAAACTAGTTATATCCCCAGGGGGAAAAAAAACCCACCCCCGGGTGGCCTCCGGGAGAAGCCGTTCTGCCCATCCATGCACACATCCTCTGAGCTCGTCCCCCAAGGTTCCTTCCCGTCCACAGGGCGTGTGCCACACGCGGCCTCCCGTCCCGCCTCCTCTCCGGATACCACAGGGAAGAGCAGCCCCCTGGCGCTCCCATCCCACGGGGACGGCTCTGCGCCCCCCAACTCGCCAGGGAAGGTGCACTCCAATTCACTGCCAAGCCTCCCACCAACCCATGCGCACAGAGCTCCTTTGTGTCAGCCACGGTCTAAGGGCAAATCTGTCACAGATCCTAAGTTTCAGGAGGGCAGGCTCTAGGCCTGCAAGCCCGGACAACACCAGCTGTTGCTACTTAGTCGCTCAGTCACGTCTGACTGTCTGCGACCCCATGGTCTGGAGCCCGCCAGGCCCCTCTGCATGCGATTCTGCAGGCGGGAACACTGCAGTGGGCTTCCATGCCCTCCTCCAGGGGATGGATCTTCCCGACTCAGATCATCACCATAAACTACAACCTCACGAGCACCAGGCACTGTTGGGCGCCCTTAACACACCAGTCTGTTCTAGGGCCCTCAAGAGTCCTCTGTGCCAGGTGCCAAGCCCACTGCACAGAGGGGGAAACTGAGGCACAGAGACTACCCAGGCCTCCACTTGGATGCGGCAGCACCTGGGGCTTGAGCCCAAGGCTGCGACCCCGCA